GCCATCTCTTACCTAACCAAGGTGTAACTCACTATTCATATGCTAGATTTTGTGACACCTATAGATTTCGCACCCACCTTAGGACTTACTAGCATTAGCTAGTCTATCTTTGAGGTAAACCTAACAGAGCGGTACATGTCCCACACATGTATTCACCTGCATGTTCGGTAATTATATAAAAGTTTTATATAACAATAATTATATATAATTCAATATAAAGTTTATATGAAAATTTATTTATTGTTATGTAAATATAATTTATATAAAAATTTTATATGTTTATAAAAGTTATATATTATTATTGTTATATAATTTTTATATATTAACAAATTATAAATAAAATTATTATATATAGCTATGAATTTTATATGAAAATTTTATATATATATAGATGATACTTAAAATAGTAATTTGAAATTTTAAAGAATTTGGTAGTAATTGCGGATAATAGCAACAAATGATTCTATACTGATCAATTAGCATATATATCTTGTATATATGACAATTTGTTCACTTCAAATTTTTCTAAATCAAAGACAAATATTAGTTTTTTTTTTTTTTTTGTACTAATATACTTCTTTCTCTTTATTTTAGAACCCCAAATCGATCCTTTAACCAAGTATCACAAGTTGAATCAATAAATAATGAGTATATATCAGGAGACAAATCTCCTGATATATATCTATTATTCTACTACACATCTGCCAAGTAACTGTAGCATATTGGTAGTATGCTACCAATATTCTACAGTTATTTGGCAGATATATGGTAGAATGATGGGTATATACTGGAAGATTTGTCACCTGATATATACCTATTATTTATTGATTCAACCTGTATATATAACATACTTGTTCTCACTATTAAATCAGTAATAAGTGTATTATTTATATAATCTGGTTTTCTATTTAAATCTTCTATTTTTTTAACAATTTGCTTTGTATAATATCTAATTTCATTCATACCATTAAGAAATATAATAAAAATTATAAAAAGGTACAAAAACAAAGGTATGATTATGGTGTAGTGGCTTAGTGAAGTGGTCTAGTCATCACCCTCCAAGCAGCAGGTCTAAAGTTTAAATTTCACAGATAATATTTTCAAAAAAATATATCTGTATTATACAGTATACCCTGTTAAAACCAATCTTGTTAAAACTGATAACCTGTTATATTCGATAAAAAATTGATCCACCATGCTTGTTTCATAAGCCAAACCCGATAATCTGCTATTTCTGATAACTGATATTTAAATAACAAGATATTGGGTTTACAGCACAGGAGTTTTGTGTAATGGTAATGTGCAAGAAGATATCATTTTTGATATGATCATAGAAATTTACTTATTAATGCATCAAAAACAATACCTTTATAGAAAAGGTTACTGATTATCAAATACCGATACAAGAAGCAGAAATAAAATAAAAACTTTCATCTTTTCGAATGTTATGCTTGTAATTCTTAGAATTTATTTTATTAATAACAGCGTAAATTAATTTTAATTTAGATGGCTTCTTATAAAAAAAAAAAATTCACAGATCAGTTTTATAATCGTGGAGCAAGACCACAAACAAGATCCTGAGTGTTTCACATTTTAAACTTCTTTTCATAGTTTATTCTATATTCTATATGTTTGTTAAATTCGTTAGTTTTGCTTTCATCTTATGAAGTAATCATTTCTCATTAATATAGGAAATAAAATAAGAATGGCCAATTTATTCTCAATAACTATGATCACACATCTTAAAAAAGAATTGATCCAGTTTACATTGGACCTGCTTTTTATTCTTTTCTCTTTGAACTTCCTCACGGATGCGGGTTTGTATCTTGCACAAAGATTTTATTGTTATTCTATTATCATCAACCATTTTAACCACAATTTTTAGAGCTTTACGCAAGATGGCTAATTTTCTTTTGGGGTCAGAGATGGTTCTACAACTTCTTTCTCTTCCTTTTGTTCTACTTCAATTGCACTTTGAACAAAGTCATCGTCTATAAATTGTTGATGCATATCCTCTTCACCTTCAGGATTTAACCAATTTTTGACTGATATTGGAGTACGAACATGTAGTGCAACTATTTGGCGCTGAAGATCATCAATTAACTCTTTATTTAAGTTTTCTTCTACACATTCAATATTTTCTTCCACTAAATTTTCTTTCATACTTACATTTCCACTTTTAGAGACGATAGACATTCCGGATTCATCATGAGATGATATAATTTTTGTATAGGCCCAGCAATTTTTAATTGTCTCAACAGTTACTTCATTCCAGGCAATTTTCGCCCACCTCATGCCTTGCAACTGGTCAACTTTATAAATATCATTTTCTTAAGCTTCATTGCGATCTATTGCATGTTGAAGTTGTAGGTGGCGATAATGAAGTTTGAAGGATGCGATAATCCTGACATCCATGGGCTGAATTTTTGACATTGTGTTTTTTGGCAGGAAAAGTATTTCTACGTTGGTCAAGAAAAGTGTACCGATAGCATGTGAAGTAGCATTGTCAAGAATAAGAAAAATATGGTGATTTGATCCATTTATTTGCACATCTAACTTTTTTACTCATTCCTGAAAAAATACAGCTGTCATCTACGCTTTTTTATTATTGCGATAGTAAAATCTAAGCTCTTTTCCAGATTTTTTTTTTAAAATATCTCAGTTTTTTTGCACATCCAATAAAAAAAGGAGGAAGCTTATGTATACCATCAGCATTGGCTGTAAATGCAATTGTGATTCTTACCTTGTCTTTTTTTGACCCTTCAACTTGACAGGACATGATTGTACAATCAGGTGCTATAGAGTAAAACAAACCTGTCTCATCTATGTTGTAAATATTACACAGAGAATAATGATCAGTAGTACAAATAATATGTGGAAGACTCAAGTTAATGGTGACGATATCAGCAGAACTACTTTCACCAAACAATCTAATTTTATGGAAATTATGTCTTTTTTAGAAAGAATATAACCAACTATTTGAAAACTCTGGTCGGTCGTTCCCAGGAATATTTAATAACTCTGCAAACTTTTTACCCTTAGTTTTAATTATGTTACCACTTAGGCGTACCCCTGATACTCACACTGTAAAATCCAATTTGTTAATATATTATCTAATTCAGGGAACATAATAACATGGTGTTTTTTAATTGAGAGATTACTTAAAAACATTTTACTAAAGTTATCTTTTTTTCTTAGAATATCCGAGATTGTACTTTGTGCCGGGGCTTTAATAAGGTTAATTTCTTTTTTGGCCCACTCAGCAAGTTCTTTTTGAGTGAGTGATGGATTTATTTGGTGATGTTTGCATATCATTTTACATTGTTCATTGTGCAAATTTTCAGCTGAAGGGTTTTTAGTTTTCATTATTTTTACAGATATTGAAGTCCTAAAATCAAAAAATTTCTACTTGTGATGTATAATTTAAGTGGGTTCAAAATTAAATGGAGAAACCCTTTATAAAGGACAAGTGTTTTTTTTTTTTTTGTATTTTATATGGCTTTTTACACTTATTTACAATATTGATGGCTATTATCATATCTAATCTAAAATGCATTCTTATCGCCAAGCATTTCACTAGAAATTATTAGGCATTTTATTTATCTTTAAGGTCACAGTTTTAATTATAGAC